GTTAAACTCTTGTGGAAAAAACCTATCAATTTTATGGCTCTCTTCACATCACGTAAGCTAACACTATATGGCTCCTCAATAGAGCGAATAAATTCCTGAGATGCAAACAAGAGTTCTGTAAGCACTGAATGGTTCAACTCTTTAAGTAGAGTATCTGTCATAATTTGAATGTATTTTTTTTCATCTCTCTTTTGCAGAATACCGTAATCCCAAACATAATCCAGTATTTGATCAGGAAGTGGTTTTACTTGATATACAAGAGCACTCTGTTCTTCATATCTTTTTATTTTAGTTGTCAATCCGGCTTGGCTCTGAGCTTTTGTTCGTAAACGATACGGATTACAGGCAGAAAATAATCGAATATTCGGGTGAATTGGTTTTCCATCGAACGTCCGATGAGCAATAAGGTCTGCTAAAAGGCCAATATGGTTACAAGTATTAATCTCGTCGAATAATAACCATAACTCCTCTTCTTCAGCCTCCTTTTGAGCCTCGATCATAAATTTCGTTATGATAGTTTCCGTGACTCCTGCGTGAAGATTTAGTGCTCGAAACTTGACTTCAACAACTCGCGTCAAATAAACAATTAGGCTTGTCTATATAAAAATAAAAATTAATCCAAATTATATATCTGTGTAAATTATATTTTAAAGCATCTACAGATAAGGAATTACATCAATGAAATACTTACCTTTCCGCATCCAGCCTCTCCCATTATGACAACTGGAATATTGGCTCGCGCCCTGAATAAAATCAAGGTCATCTTCATCAAATTGTCGAATGATAACGCATAAGTTTCTAACTTGATATCATCCATTTTTTTAAGTGTCAAAGACACCAATTTTATTAATAACTCTTCTTGGGACATGCAATCGTAATCTTCGATTTCCCCCTTTTTGCTGTCGATAAATTGCCTTCTTAAGAAATTTCTTACATTCTCGTCAACCCCATTTTTATCTCGGTACAGAGCACAAATTGAATCCGGATTTTGAGACGTTAGATACACAAGAAAATGATCCGAATCATCCCATGATTTAACGTCAATTCTAATGTCATCTATTGAATCCGCTTTAATAGACTTCAGTTGCATTTCCTTAACATAAACCGAACGAGTTGCAAAGTCCTTGGAAACCTCTAATAATCTAAGGACTAACGTACTCCTTATGTTTTCTTCGCCTGTCATCTGTTTCAAGCTTTTAACACGAAGATGAGAACTTGAAAACAATCGTGTCTGATAAATAAATCGAGACATTAACAAATTAAAAAAAAATAATAATAAAGATAGCAAAAAAGCAATACTCACTAATTGATCGGCTAAAAAATTAACGAAAATTTCTACAAAGCGGAACGACAAAACATTATCTGCATTTTGATTAAGAAAATATTTGGACAACAATTTTTGACATCTTCTTGCCGGTAAACTCTCGATAACATGACCTTCCCCACAAAGTAAAATATCTCTTTTATCAATCTGATTCTGATCGAGAGCATTCAAATATTGGCATACCACTTGAATAGGACTATGAGTTTCATGGGATACAATTAAATTCCCAATGTCCCAGGATAGATGTCGCCTTAATAAATAACTTGCAATTGGAAGTAATTTAAATAATTGATTTTCTACTGTTGACGCAACTTCAATAAAGATAGTTGTTCGTGGTGGAAGATACGTAATATCCACTTCGCTATAGACAAACCCTAACGTCAGAAGCTCAAACAAGAACATATTAATGTCGTTATAATTATCAATCGATACAATATTAATATGTAGACTTTCCACTTGGCGAAGATGGGATTCTTTAAGCTGATGCACTAGTTTACTGAAATTAACCTCATCATTGATAAGAAAGTTGCGCGGAACTTTTTGCTTCTTGTAACTAGACTGTTTAATCCACCCACTCTTGCCTTGTCCAGATAAGTCAGAGGTGACGCATACAGCATATGGACTTAGTTGATGATAAATCTCTTTCATCGTTTCAACACCTAGGCCATCGGTAATAACAACATTTTGAGAGAATTCATCTAATACGTGATGATGAACCCCAGCTTCCTGGAAACATATTAATGCGAGCAAATAATTATTATATTTCTCGCGTAAGGATCTTATATTATTAACAAGATCATATTGTAATTCGAGATTAAGTAATTCCAAATTTGCGATGCAAAACAAACGGTCCCTATACCCATTACTAGATGCGTGGAAACAGCGCTTAAGAAAAATGGAAAGTTCATCGGCTGTAGTAGAAGATCTACAAATCAAAATTTGCCACGGTTCCGGATAGTTCCCATGATTTGCGTAAATTGACATAATAACGTTAGGAATGAATAAATTGTTTTTGCAATGAGCTACAAATAACTTTCCTTCAAGTACTAAATCAGAAGTAATTAATTTTCCTCTAGTTCTAAGTGGAATTGGTTGGATCGGAATATTGTCAAAAATATTTTTTAGTATAGCGCCAATCTCGCAAAGGACCAAGTAATGATCTTTCTTTCCACGTGAAACATTGGAGATTTCCTTCTTGGACGGCATTCTGGCTTTTTTGTTGACAAATTTTATAAGGGTTTCGCAATCCTCTTCATTATTTTCCCCTCGGGTAAAATAATCAAGGAAAGCGAGAATATAACGAGCTGGAAAAAATGTCAGATAGTAATAATCTTCTTGCGCGCGATTAACAATATCATTCCTGAATCGATGGCAATATCACGAGTAAATACTTAAAACAATAATAGTTATAAAACATCATATGCAACTTACCATTCTTTTAATTCGTCTTTAAATTTTTTAAGTAAATCAACCAATTCGTTCGTTTTATTGTCACCCGTGATTTCCTTCTTGAATTGCCGATATCCAAAGTGTCCAACCTGTATTATTTTAGTTCCAACGTTACAAATATCATGCACAATATCAACTTGCCGAACAAATTCGTCCATTATTTTTGCCCTCGCTCTATGCTCTTCGATACCTACATCGGTATCTATTCTCACGCTAGGCTTTGCAATTAATAATACACGTCCTTTTAAATCTTGTAAATCGCTTAAAGAGTATGGCTTCATCTTCTCTACCCGGGATGGGTAAGTCAAGGTGACAGAGAACTCATCATTCCCTGTTCGTTCAAATGTATAAGTTCCTTTCTCGACCGCGTTCTTGATTTTTTCTTTTGTAACATTTGAAATATTTTTGTACATATTTTGCAACGCCATATTACATAGAGTAATTTTACTAGCCAAAGTTGGATTAGAATGATTGATCGCGGCTAACTCGGCTAAGAATTTTTTAATGGTCAATTTCTCCGCTTTATTCATCAATTGAAGGAATATCTGCTGAACTTGGATCAAAGAAGCGACGGTGTCTTCCTGGTTTAATCTTTCATCATTGAAATCCTCGACACTTTAATTTCCAATAAATAGAAAACAAATAAATGAGTATTGAAAAATAATTAATTAATTAAATTACTTGGATATTCCATATATATGATGTACCTACCCGTTAATAAGATTTTTTATATCGTGCTCGGCAATGGTTTGAAGGAATTCTAAAAATTCACCAGCCTCGGATAATTCCTTAATTAAAGGCCAGTTGTTTTCGCTGTCGATCAAGGAGACATGAAGATTTAGAACATCAAAAAATGAATGCAATTTCCCTAACATCAAAATGTCATCTTGGAGAATCTGGCGCGATTTTGTTAGCCAATCGTTTTGACCTTGGATATGTGGAACCTTGAATATTTCCACAATGGCGACCAATTGTTCTAGACGTTTAATCCATTCGGGTACGGATGCAAGACGTTCGAGGGTACTAACAAAATTCTTTTGATTCTTGTCGAGGTGTACAAATTCTCCCATCAATTCGAGCTCAGCACCAACGTCCACAACCCCTTTCCAGAGATAAGCAGCCTTGGTACATTTTAACTTCTCCCAATCCTCGCCTTTATACTGTCTACATAATTGAGCATACTCATCAAATGTTGCGGGTAAAATTTTATTGGAGATACTTTCAACAGTTAAGACTTCGGTATCATCATTGATGTGCTTATCAAAAACGTTTGCAAAAGTTCGTGATCCCGCAAATTTGAATGCTCTTTTCGCCATTCCCATCGTATCTTTATGGAACTCCCAATGATCAAGGGACAAAATATCTTTAAGTGTAATCTGGAATAATCTCTTGGATTCGGAATCTATATTCGAAATATATCTATTCACGTCGGAGACCTTTGAAATGGGACAGAAAACTTCATAATACACCCGAAGTTCATTCAAGGTAGACTCATAAGCCTGAAATTGATTTCTAATTACCACGATGTCGGATTTTGAGACGGTCACATTAGTCAACTTCTTTATTGTGCTGGAATGATCAAAATATGTGGACAACTCATCATCATTGTATTTAAGAATTGACTGGAGCAATTGGATGGCAATCGTTTTTTCTGCAACCAAGTTCGCCAGCTGAGAAATCGCAACACGTATTTGTTGAACATGAGGATGTGTTTGCAATGTCGAAATTTGACCTTTTGCATTAAAAATAAGCTGCCAAAATTTACGACATTTGAGAAGATCCAGATGATGTTCAAATGTCGAAGGTGGTGTGAAACGTTTCTGCAATTCGGTCATTATGTAACAAAGTAACCTTTCGCAAAGCCTTTACAAATAGGTAAATTAGATCAGTAAGAGTTCAAAAAAAATAATTTTTCACATTTACTTACTTATTCTGAACATTCAATTCCTTAGATTTTGGTTTGCCACAGATACATTTGATCTTTTCTACAAGCTGTTCATCGACAACAACAGATTGTTTTAATTGGCCTTGAGCTATTTCAACAAATTGATTGACAACGTTTTCATTTAGACTGAAAACAGATGCTGTTGCTTGAAGGATCTGCACTTCCGAGCATTGCTTAACACGCATACTGGCAATATTTGATAATTCATTATAAAGATTTCCCCTCTCGACGATCAAGGAATATATTTGTGATAAATATTCGAAAATCCTTGACACCAATTTTCCTTCGTCACTGATAGAATCATTCAAACGCGCTAAAACACTTTCAAACCATGACTTGCAAGTTATAGGAATTTTTGGATTCTTAATATCTGAGAAAATTGCTACCTTAAGCCATACGCTCAAAGGTTTTACAAAAATATCTAATAAATTAAGCTCTTTTGATCGTGAGATATTCTCCAATGCTTTCAGTAATTGTTCTCTTTTCCATTTCATTTTTTTTTCCAAGAGAAGATTTTCTATTGACTTTGAGTTAGATTCAGTCCATTCGCATAAACGAACACTTAATAATTCTAGAACTCGAGCTTTGAAAAATTCTGAAGCTTCCTCCTGAAGATCTGCCGGGACCCCGTTAAAATTATTGAATAAACCGTTGGGATCGTCTTTCCTAATATTTAATTTAATACGTTCGAGAAAATATTTCCGTATAATTTGATCGACCGTTGAGGAGTGGTCGATATCTTTCCACACTGCAAAAAGTGTTTGCATGGTATTGCACATGCTGATCAACCACTGAATTAAAATGAACATTTTAATAAGCAATCATACAGAAGGCAAAGCCAAGTTATATAACTAACGCTAATTATACTTACTATTGAGAGTTTTACATATGCTTTCTCATTTATTCCTTTTATATAATGCTTTGCATATTTCTTCCAAAGATTTAAAAATTCGTTCAATTCATCGTTAACATATGTCTTCTTAATAATTATGTCAACAAAGGAATAACGTGGATCTAATATGTGAGCAGACTTAAATATCTTAATCCACTCAAATGACCGGTACCTAATACAATGTTGAACTAAAACAGATATAACTGGTGCCATGATTCCTAGGACATCAGAAGGCAGTGTATCTTGTTGCACATTTTCAAGTATTTCTATTAAATTAACAGACTGAAAATGTGTAGGCAATGTATTTTGATGCAAATTATTCTTTTGCGTTACGCAGTATGCAAGGAGGACGCACAGGAAAAGTCGTTGCTGTTTAAGTTTCGCATCGAGCAGGGAATTATAAATAAAATCAAAATTAGTGGCGTCAGCAGTAAGTTCTGGGTGACTCTTCCTCAATTCTTGATATTGCATAAACTTATCTTTAATATTTTTAGATTTTATTGTTGAATATATAACATCGACAAATGCAAAATCTCTGATACCGTTGATAGCATGTTTGGGACTGTTTATTCCTAAGTCA